TCCGCAGACCAGTTCAGCAGGCAGAGCGCCGCCGCCATCAGTGCGTGAGGAGGCGGGGCGTCCATGGGGGGGGCATCCATGCCAGCATGTGGGGGAGCTGTGCATGTGTCCATGCGTGGGTGGGCAGAAATTTGTGTGTGTATGTGGGGGAGGCATATGTGCATATGTGGAAGAGGGCATGCAGGGGGGCAGGAGATCTGTCTCCGCAGCCCAGTCCTACCAAGGCCACCAGGGGTTAGGGACCCCTGATCTAAAAGATTACAGATCAGCTCTGAATATAAATTGACAGACAGATGAGGTGGGGTAGATACAGCTCAGCCAATCATTAAACATTAAAACAATTATTTCATTTGGTCTACTAACTCCTCTCAATGCTGAGAAGACACAGGTCAAAAAGAAGCAACCTAAGAGAAAAGGATCTTCAGTGAGTCCTTGTAAAACATCTGCTCTGCTTTTCTCCATTCAGCCAGTCAACAATATATGAAGTGAAGGAGATAGAAATCCACAGTCTCCTTACTCCTAAACATATCAGTGTAGAAACCTGAGATAAGAGGCATTCCCTAGGGAGTCAAGAAAAGGAGGAATCTTAAAGGGAACTCTTTCTCCCCCCCCCATACCTGCTATAAAATAAGACAAAAATAGTGGAAATGCCTTTTTAATGGCACATATTAGCTGAGATATTTAGTGTCAGGAGTCAAAGTCATTTGACCATGGGTTGCCCTGAACAGTCAGTCGGACTTACTGAGACTACTGACTTCTAAGTAAAAGCAAGTGGACAATTACACACTGCTTGATTACAGGAACACAAAATATCCGGGGACATGCACCAAAATCTAAAACACCTAAGATGGCATAACTGGAGCACAAAGGCAAACCCTGAAAATCGTTAAAAACATTAATTTCAATGTGCCTAAAAAGCAGTATATTAGAATAGAATGCCCCCCCAGATGAACAGATAATGATTAGATTATTGTTTCCTAGGGTGGGGTGTTGCTGTTGTGTGTTTTTTTTCAAACAATCAATTTAATTTTGCTGGTTTTTCAAATTAGTTCTCAAATTAATAAAATAACACATTCCATTACTATCCAAAAGCCATTGAAAAAATTGCCAGAAAAATTACCATTTTGCATCACTTTGCCAACATGAAAAATACATGAAATTCAGATTCCCATACATAATGATGTGAGAGAGAAGGATGCTCCATTTGTCCCTAAGTGACATCTGCCTGTCAAAACTTTTTTTTAAAAATCATCTTTATTTTTAATAATTTTTCTGACAGTTCTCTCACGTTACTTACCAGCCATGTATTTCATGACAACCATAACATAACAAAGTAACTTAAATTATAATGCAATACTTATTGCTTATACAATATTTTACCAATTTATAATCATCTACACACCCACTAGTTTCATATCTTAACATACTTAAATTCATTCTCCTAAAATATTCCCACAACATTCAGCTGGGAAGAGATAGCTCTCCCTACAAGAAAAAAGGTGGATAGAAGAAAAAGCCGAGCGAGTTTGGAAAGGTCATACATCAATGATTGTTGTGGGTTTTTCGGGCTCTTTGGATGTGCTGTCCTCTGAAGATGCCGGCCACAGAGACTGGTGAAACGTTAGGAAGAACAACCTTCAGAACACAGCCAAAGAGCCCAAAAAACCCACAACAATCATTAGATCCCAGCCGTGAAAGCCTTCGCGAATACATCATACATCAATATTAGAAGCTGAGGCTGTTCAGGAGCTTATGAGAATCGAAGAGGAGGAACCAGACCTGGGAGATGACCCTCAACAAGCTCCCAAACTAAATAAAAGCTATGACGAGATGGTTGTCGAGGATGCAGCCAATGCATTGGACAATGATTTATTAATGCAACTGGACACTGATGGGGATAAACTTGTGGGAGAAGCACTTATTACCTTTAAAAATCTGCCCAGAGAAGAATAAATAAAGATCATCACTAATTTGGAAAAAGTAAGGGTCGAGCTAATTGACAATAAGGATATAAACCATCTCAGAATCCCCCACCGCCACAGAGTATAAAACCTTGAGGGCTGATCCCATGCCGTCCATGGAATCCTGCCCTCTGTGCTTCAAACCCACTCTGGTCCAAAACAGCACCTACTCAAACCCTCATTCACCAAAAAATTGAGGACTAACAAGGGGAAGGTTCAGATCCATCCCAGGTGGCCATCTAAAGCTGGCTCTGATCCCCAAGATGTTTCATCGGCACACCTAATGATCGCAAACTTGGACTTATCAAATGACCCTCAAACGGAAAATTGACTGAACAGTCCTTGTGTAACCCCAGGTCATAAAACTCTGCTGAAAATTCTTTCATGGAATATAGCGGGAGGGAAACATAAAAGTAATGATAATGCTTTCCTGAACTATCTTTTATATTAGATTAGGCAACCTTCAGTCTAGAGAGAACTATCTTAAGGATTTTGATATTGTATTACTACAGGCTTTAGAGCAAGTCTTTCTAGGAGGGTATACGTCCTTCTATGAACCAGTTAGCAAGGCAAAAATTGAAGGATGCCCAATTGCTGGCCTAGCCACACTGGTCAATACCTCCTTAAATTCAGAGCATATTAAATTCCTCACAATCCCATATATTGGCTAATAAGGTCAGCATTCCTGATAAAGTGTTGATTTTATTTAACATTTACATCCCTCTGGGACTTCACAGTTTACAACGGCTCCAGCAATGGAAGCTTTTTAAAAAATGTATCAAGGACCTTGAGTCAAGATACTCCCTGGTTGAATTCATTCTGGCAGATGATTCAAATGCCAGAGTGGGGAAGAAGATCAGATATTTTTGAAGGCCTTAGAAGTAGAGAGTGATGTCTCCCTGCCTGCCTGCTGTAATTTCAGCAGATGATCCAAGGATTGCGTTCAAAATGTAGCAAGGATTGCTTTAGCAAAACTGTGTATCTACAGTGGAGTCTCGACTTACGGTCGGCTCCACTTACGTACTTTTCGACCTACGGACTTCTCCGGCTGCAAACTTTTACTTCGACTTGCGGCCGGAGAATCGAGCTACGGGCCAGAAGGGGGAGGCGGAGAAAGGCTTTCCCTTTCCCCGCCTCCCCCTTCCAGTCTGTAGGCCGTAAGTCGTGCCTTGGGATGCCTTCCAGGGCTGCTCCGCCGTCATGGAAGGCATCTCGGAGGGGCCCCCCTGCCGATAGTGCTTCAGAGCCACTATTGGTGGCGGGGGGGACCTCCAGATGCCTTCCAGAGAAGCCTTGGAAGGCATCCGGAGGTTCCCCGCCGCCGCTGTCGTTGCTGGGAGCTGAGAAGCGCCGGGCGATCCCAGCCATGCTCGGACGGCTGGGAGCCACGCCGGGCAATCACAGGCCAGGAGTCTGAGCATGGCTGGGATTGCCCGGCATGGGGCGGCTCCCAGCAGCGGCGGTGGCGGGGGACTCCGGATGCCTTCCAAGGCTTCTCTGGAAGGCATCTGCCGCCGCTGCTGGGAGCCTTCGAAGGTCTCAAAGGACTTTCCTCCCGACATCAGAGGAAGCCGTTTAAGAACTCTGAAAGCAAAAAGGCAGGGAGAAAGGGCGGGAAATTCAAATTTCCCCCCCTTTCTCCCTGCCTTTTTGCTTTCTGAGGTCTCAAACGGCTTCCTCTGATGTTGGGAGGAAAGCCCTTTGAGACCTCCGAAGGCTCCCAGCAGTGGCGGCGGTGGACCTTCGGATGCCTTCCCCGCCACCATGGGAGGCCTCTTGGAGGTCCCTGCCACTGCCGATAGTGCCTCTGAAGGACTATCAGTGGCGGCAGGCCTCCGGAGGTTCCCCCCCACCAATGCAGGCTTTCCCAGGGTGGACGGGCCTACCAGGGGAGGGCTTCCCCCCGGTAGGCTTGTAGGGGGAAAGCTAAGGTGCTTTTCACCAAAAAAACAACCTGGTAGACTGGGCCTACCAGAGGAAGCCCTCCCCTGGTCGGTCCGTCCACCCTGTGAAAGCCTGCGTCGGCGGGGGGGAGGCGAGTTCTGAGAGGCCTCTGGCAGCTGCGCCGAAGCCCTCAGAGTCCTCCAGCAGCGGCGATGGCAGTGGCAGGGGACCCCTGGAAGGCTTCAGAAAGGTAAATTTTTATTTTCAAAATGTTATTTCAACTTTGTGTGTTGGGGGGGTTCTTGGGCAGGTTACAGATTAAATGGTTTTCAATGCATTCCTATGGGGAATGCATTTTTGACCTGCGTACTTTCGACCTACAGACTCCGTTCCAATACGGATTAATTCTGTAGGTCGAGACCCCACTGTAATTTAATTAGTTCAGCTTAATGGTTTAACAGAATTCCCAGATTCAAGTGAGTTCACACATATTGCCACCAAAGGAACCAGTATAATCAATTATATTCTGATTTCAATTACTTTGAAATCCTACGTGGTGGAATTTGTGGTGGGAGATCAGTGACCACCTGCCTTTAGTAGCAAAGATGGCTCAGTACTCTGTCTTGAGACCTATCCACACGGGAAACGATGTCATGGCTTAGAACTTTTCAATTCTGGCTAAAAATGTTTTATAACTCAGACCAAGATAGCTTATTATATCAGCTTCTGCAAGATTCCAACCCTCCTTTTGGATCTACTGCCCTTTTTAAAAAACTGAATTTGATTGGCCCAGACATTGGCTCTTTAGGTTCACTAAGTCTAGAGCTAGCATTGCAAACAGTTAAAAGAGACGAATTATGGACATTGAGTTTCAGGAATTATGGAGCGTGGCTGATAAGACTTGCTCCCCTTGTCTCTCCATATCCCCTTTAAAGTTTATTTATTTATTTATATATTTATTTATTCCCACCTATCTAGTCAAACAACAACCAGCTGCTTTTCTCACACTGTTTAAATGTCCACAAAACCACAGTGCCTTTTCTCTGGCCAGATGTAATGTCATGCCTGGTACTGTATCGTATGGTAGGTATAACGGAACCCCTTATCTCAAAAGATATTGTCCATGCTTTGGAAACCCTCACCCACATGTCTTACCTTTTGTAACTGCAACACTTCTTGAATTGGCATCTAAATTCTTCACCAGAGATTTTGGATCAATTTTCATTCCAGCGAAGATATTTGAGGTGAACAAAACCTGGTGCAGATACAGAGTATTATCAAAACTTGATGTAATTCATTTCTATATTATAAGCAAAACTTTGGTTATAGCCATTAGCTTTGGATCCCCTTCTCCCAAAGCAAGAAAAAAAAGAACATGAGAGACACTGCAGACTAAAACAACCAGAAAAATCTGCAGTAGCTGAACATGCCCTAAAACAAGCTGGACATGAAATTCTATTTCAAAATACTGAAATACTGGACAACACCAGCAATCATTACGTCAGACTGCACAGGGAAGCCACTGAAATCCGCAAGCACCAGCAGAACTTCAACAAAAAAGAGGAAAGTTTGAAACTCAACAAAACTTGGCTTCCGGCTCTGAAAAATACAGCGTGCAAAAGGTCAACGACCTCTACCCAGCCCCATGGACCGGGGATCACTACACACAAAAGACCAGCTAATGACACCCATCAATCACAGTGACAGATAATCTCTCCTCCTTATCACAACAATACACCCAAACAAGACACACTAATCACCCATCCCCTGAATAGGACAAAAGCCATAAATACTCCACTCCCAAGCAAACTACACCAGAGCACAGAGTGCTGTCCTAATTGATCAGATACGCGGGATATAAATAAAATAAATAAATAAATAAATGAAGATGCCGGCCACAGAGACTGGCGAAATGTTAGGAAGAACAACCTTCAGAACATGGACAAAGAGCCCAAAAAACCCACAACCACCACAAGGAAAAAAAAACCTCAGGCTCCAATCTACACCTTTCCAAGACAGCCAAGATTCTTACACTATAGAATAAAAAGCACAAGCTGGACCAAACTTCTTGGTTTTCTTATTCTTAGCTCTGCACTGTCCTACAAACAAATGTATTATTCCGAAATGTGTCCCATATCACCATCTAGTGGGAGCAGATGGCTGAAATCCTATTGGTGTAAATTTATGCACTGCAAGAAATACCTTGTCATCAGCCCACAATTTTGATTAAATTAAACCTTTAATTTCAAAAGCTTCCTAAGCCCCCCTCTTGGATTCTCTAGGGCTCCTTTTCAAGTTGGGGAAGCCTTTGAGAGCCTTGGGACACGGATGAGAGCCTTTAACAGCCAAAATTGCCACAGCTAGTCCCACCACCAATCTGGCAGTGATTTTTGGCTTAAAGGCTCTTCCCACCCCGAGACTCCTAAAGGCTTCCCCAGGTTTATAGGAACCCCTAGGGAGCCTTGGAACCTGAAGGAGGGAGCTTGGCAGCAAGCTTTCAACTCAATTAAATTAAAGGTAACCATCATGGCCATATGACATCAAACAACTTGCACAGATAAAGTTATGCCAACAATATTTCAGTCATTATTAGGAGTTTAGGTTCACTTAAATTTTGTATCCTGTCTTGCCAAATGCACTTGAACAACGGTTGATAAGTAAAAGCCATCTAGCTATGTTCTGCAGAGAAAAGAAGAGAGAATAAAATAAAGCAGATTATTTAAATGTAGTCAACAGAGAGATCTACAGTTAGCTGAAGCATCCTTGAGATGCAGCTGCTTCTTTTGGTATCTGACAGAGGATAATTAACTGCATTACTTGCTTATGGGGAGCACTGAGTCCATTATGATGTACAGATAAATTCATACAAGAAAAAAAAATTAAATATCCAGTACTTTCTTGTTAAAGAAAAAGTAAACTACATAATGCTATTCTAGGACTTCTCACGAAGAAGTAGGAAGAGCACTTTTTTAAAATGTCCACTGTTAAACATTCTGTCAGAACTATGAAACATTTTAGGACCATCAAAATATTCTAATAAGGCCCTAAACGGTTTGGGACCTCGATACTTGGCGGAACGCCTGCTCCCACCAAGATCTACCCGGATCACCCGCGCGAGCCAGGAGGTGAGGCTGAGGAGCCTAACGCCGAGGGAAGCCCGGTGGGAAAAGACACGAAACCGGGCCTTCTCGGCGGTGGCTCCTCACCTTTGGAACAATCTCCCTCCTGTGATTCGCACGGCCCCTACTCTGGGTACATTGAAAACACAATTAAAAACATGGCTCTACACCCAGGCCTTCCCTCCTGCCAGCATTTAATTTGACTTAATTTTCTTCTTTTTTCTATCTATCATTTATTATGTTTATGGATTTTTATTTTAATTGTATATCCTTGCTGTTAGCCGCCCAGAGTGGTATGATATACCAGATGGGCGAACCATGTTGTTCTTGGGAAAATACAAATTGCTCCTTTGCTGCAGCGCAAGTTAGTATAACTCATTATTAAAATGTTTCTGCTGTGGTAATTTTTCAACCACAAATTAGACCACTAATGAAAAATGGGCACTGGACTACAGATTAATGAGAACTGAACTGGTAATACACACAAAATACAGAGTAGGTGGAGGAAGGAAATAGCAAGCCGAAAAACTTATACTGTATGACTTGAATCTTCCCATCTAACTTGTGACAGTGAAAGCTTTTGACAGTTTTTGAGACCTGCTGAAGAAGTGAACATATTTTGTGAGGGTATTGTGTAAAAAAGTAGTAGCAACTATATGTAGATTTAAGCACTTGCTTATTACAAATGATATAATGGCCTACAGCTAGATCAACAACAAATTGTTTATTTTCTTTGAAATGTGAGCCTGGAGGAGTGAAGGCCATATATCACAAAATCCACAAAAATAATAAATAAGTAATTAAATATCCTCAGAAGCTGCTATGGAACAAAAGATAATAGAGCAATGGAAATTATGACTGACTACAGATGTAACCAAGCCATCATCCAGTTTCTTTAAGAGACAGAGCATTAGTCAACTGGTTTAACATGTTATTAACAAATTTTACAAACTTCAGAGCAGGTGTTGATTCAAAAACTGTGAAGGATAGTTCTTTAATTTAAACAAAAACTGTTTGCTAGATAGAAAAGCATCTAGAATTTTCCTTATAACCACACCTGAGGATATAAAATAGTCCCTCTCATATATGAAATTGGTGGAAAAGATAACTCATATTCTACAGCTTTTTTAAAAAATAGAGAGAATACAGGGGGTCTCCTTTAAGGAGCTACCATTTCATGGCCAACACCTGCCTCCTCGCTTTGTAGTTGTTTAGGGGTGCCTGACCTTCAAAGATAACAGATGAATTCGGCCAGGGTTCAACTGCTGACTTGTGGCTCCCATTCTCTTATTAGGGCACAAAAAGTATTCAAAACTACAAACAACTGTGCAAGGTTTTGAGAGGCATATGGCCCAATAAAAAGTATCGCTTTAGGAATTCCTTTTGTACCAACACAGCTAGCCCTGCTTTTGTTGTTGTGATCCTGTTCCCTAGCAGCTGTTGAAGCAATGAAGAGACCGAAGGTCAGAAGTTGTTTTACTATTCATGTAACTGAAATGTAAGCATTTTAGCTACTTCAAACAGACGCAAAAGTAGCTGTTCCTCTTCCAAAGTTGCAGCTATAATAGCAACTAACTAGAGGGAGAAGTTCCTTGCCTTCAGACTCAAGGCCACGAACCACTAGCACCGTTAATTAATCCTGATCTAAGATCTGAATCGCTAGGCTGCGCGAGGGGACCATGACGAAGGAAGCCCTCGTGTCCGTGCCAGGCGCGAACTTCTCAGCAGTGATACTTGCGCATTAATTCCTCCTATTTCTCCATTTCCCCCCCTCTCTTCCGGCCTCAAAATGGTACAATCCATTTCTCGCACCCGCACCCGCTAAGGCCTTACCTTCTCTGTGGCTGCCCGGCCGGTTAGGGCTACCGCTGCAAAGCCCTCATCCCGACTCTGCTGTGGCTTCGGAGCCGCGTGGTGCAGCCGCGAGCGATTCCGTACTTTGCCCACCATAGCAAGCAGCCAAGGAAGAATTTGTAGAAGTCTAAACAAACGAAGTGGCAGGAACAGAGAACCACGGCCGGAAACGCGGAGCCGGGGCGCCTTTTCAAAGCCTTCCGCCGGTAAACGCGCCTCGCGCTGCAAGAAGGTTCTGGCCGGCCTCGTGACCTGCAAAGCCCCGGAGGGTCTTGTGACATCGGCGACCGATGTGTCCCCTCGGATGGAGTGCCTCCGTCAGAAACTTTTGACTCCTAATTCTGGGCGACAGGATGAGACCCTTAGCGGTCATGTTTCTGAGGACACTGCGGATTGTGAAGGGGCGGCAGATACAGCGCGGTGGAAATAGGGATTCAGCATGATGGTGACCGATAAGAGCAGAGGAGTGGAGCCGAGAAAAAGTTCAAAGCAACTCGGAAACGTTGCGCCTTCAACCATTTTTTCTTTTGCAGTGTACTGAATCCTAGCAAGAATTTCCCTCCTTGTGTGTGCAGTCTTGCGGAGGCCAAAGAATAGAAACGTTACCTCCAAACACTGGTTCAAAAAAGTAACCAAAAAGTCTCCACATACACCTCCCGAAAGTTCAGAGTAAGAAACTAACGCTAAAAGAGGGAGGGACGGATGACCCTTTGCAAAAGGGACTTTCTCAGAAAGCAATAAAGATAGTAGTTTTCCAACTTTCAAAGTAGTCTTGTTGGCTTCCTGTTCCTGGCTAGTGGGTCTTCAGACACTCCCCAGTGCACACCTACACGTACACAATGAAAATGCAAGCCACACCTGGGCACTGCTATTCTCAGCGAGAAGTAGGTGAGCGTTGTGCTGGTCATAATTATTTGTGCTATGGTGGTTCTGCCATATGTGGTTATTGGAGCAAATCTTAAAAGTAGTCTGAGAAGATAGCATTTCAGAGAAAATGCTTCCCTTTCTAGAATAAGAGGGGAAAAAATCATGATTAAATACCTTTCTCTATTATTGGTAGATGAAAAATCTATAAAACGCTGCTGCAGAGCAACTGTCTTTGATAGCTGGTTATTCTTTCTAAGATTGACAGTGCAAACAATCTTATATTTGTTAAATCTGATAGATCCAGCTGTTTTCAGTGGAACTTACTGTAACCCTGTAGCCTAGCCTAAACCATAGCTGTTTTTGGAACTGGGGGGAGGGGGTTGGGAATCACAGAATTTCTTTGGATAGATAATACTTATTACTATTTTAAATCTTTCTGAAATAATAAGATCATAATGTTGAAAATCTCAATTTCCAGAGAGCTCTGTCATCGCAAAAAACAGTCTTGTATATGCACTGCCTAACAAAATAATTTATTTTCATGCCTGAAAGTTAAGCTGTTGGAGAAAACTGAAACAGTACTGAAATAAATAGAAGATATTTACTTTGCAATGTGTTAATACGACTGGAGGTGGCATTTGCAGTCCTATAACTTTAATCTTCTGTAAGTACAGTACAGTACTCTGGTTTTATAGTACTGAAGGGTGCACAGGACTAATTCCTCGGTTTTTGCCTGTCTCTAACACATTAATCAATCAGCCAGAGACAGAGAGATCCAATAGATGTTTATTTTTTCGGATGTAAATCTCAATAGTTTAGTACTTGGCTTTTCATTCAATAACACTTTACAGTATATGCACTTTAAGATCAGGAAGTATACCTAATGCAGTGGCACCTTACTTATATATAATAATTGCTTCTCTCTTTACTGAATATGGTTCGAGGATATTATAGAAATCAAACTGATATTTGGGTTTTGACATTATTTGGACAAAAACATGTAAAGTTCATAGCCTGAAGGTTGTAATGCAAATAATTTTCATTGCAAACCTAAAGTACTCCTTTTAGTACCAGAATCCACATTTAACTCAAATATGCAATATGGGACCTACTTCAGAATTTTATATCATCTGTGTATATGATTGTGGTCAGTCTGAAATCATGATTGACTCCCACACCACATCAGAACGTGGACTGTAAATTATGACAGCAGCAGTCCTCTATATGAAGACTTAGCAGTATTTTTATAGAACATGTAATTTATGCTACAATCACTTTTTCTACTGATGAGACTACAAATTTCTTTTAAACACTGTGATGTCACAGAAATTTCTGAATCATGTAGCTGTAAACACATTGATGTGTAATGTGTGTGTGTATAGAAGAAGAAGAAAATAAGACAAATTGGTGGAGCAAAAGGGTGATGGTTAAAAATAGGAAGTGGAAAGTACTGTTTTGGAATCATAGCTGTGGAAAAAGATAGGGATGTGCTGTTATCCAGGCTGGTTATGAAATGAAAATTACATTAGAAATGCTAATTGTCCTCACTGAAAAATGTCATCTATTTTAGAACATATATTTCATAAATTTCATAATATTACATTATTTGCTACTTTATAAAGAAGATTTCAAAAAAAGATTACTCATTTAGGAAGTATACTGTATTTACTTAACAGCCAGATAGTTTTCATCAGAGACAGGATGTGACACACTCTCACAGTGGATTAGCAATATTTCACCACCATCTATAGAAGTCTATTTCCTTGTTTAGGAGGTGCAGAAGTTTACAGTGTGATTTCAGAAACCACAATACTGTACTGTAGTTGAGTTGCAGAGAAGTGGACCAGAGGGGACCTGGCCCTTTTCCTTTTGAGATTCCCCTGTTAGCTGCTCTTTTGGAAAGGTCCAGAAGGCATGATATGGCTAAAATTAAAGGGAATCCAGTGGTGAGCTTTAGGAATTTGATTAAAAGTCCCCTATCATTACTCCTCCCCATGATTTAAGCATTGGAAGTAGTGTCACTTCCTCTAACCTAATACACCAACATTAAACATGGATGGTACTTTCATATTCTAATCTGAAATGTGTTTACGATACCAGAACCTGGTCGTAGGAACAGTATCATTGTAAATGTTGACAACTACTACTTTCCATCCCCCGTTTGATTGGTGCATGTGAAAATCTATTGTTCAAGTTTGTTGTGTTTTTCTTTTCAAAATGTGTAGTTATTTATTTCCAAGTAATAAATACAATTGAAATATCCTGTGATCAAATAATTCTGAAACATCTAGTAATAATTTCTTAGAATAGTGAGTCTATTTAAAATTCCAGACATTTGTAGAAATAATATCCTTTCTGACCTGATATGTCCATAAAACTATTCTACTGTCTAACAAAACTTTGTTTCTCAGCTATCAAGACAGCACATAAACTTATTTCCTTCTAAATTATTTTGTTCACTGATACAGTGGTATCCATATCATATGCGATATCTATCATTTCCAATCATATTATACATAATAGTTGACTGAAAACTTTTATTTAATTTAGCTGGTCTTTATACCATCTTTATACCATATAAAGATCAGATTCTATTGAAGCTATTTTTTCTGTGCTTATTGTTTGCGTTATGTATCATCAATTTATGTGAGATTTTTAGGAGCAGTTTTACCATTGCCTCCCTACCATCCCTCTGAGTTTCCATGGCTAAGCAGAGATTTGAATCAGGTCTCCTGAGTCCTAATCCATCCCTCTGTCCACTACACCAGGCCGAGTAACTGTGCTTAGTGAACTTGTCTATCATTGCTCTAGTACTGTATAGGAATCCTAATATATTTTTATTGTTATGAGAATCCTGTTCTTTCAATGTAAGGGCTACAACTAATCAAGAACCTCCACCATCACAATGGCTTTTTCTGGGAATTATGTTATTTTTGCTTTAAGTACATATACAGTATGCCCTCTTTAGCCTGCTTAAGACCTAACTGAGCTTGCATTAGGCCAGTGTTTCCCAACTGGGGGGTTGTGGTCCCCAAATTATTTAGGAGGGTTGTGGGTCTCCTTATATGTGTTGTAGCCCTTGTTAAATAATTTCTTCCTTGACCTTTTGGAGGAGGATATTAAAGTTAGTGTATGGTACAGTATGTTCGAAATCCTCCAAGGTAGGCTTCAGCAGTACAGTATGTGGACCGAGAACTCCCAGAAGTACAAGCTGGGTTTCGAAGGGGCAGAGGAACTGGTGTGTAGTAGAGTAATACTGCGAACAAAGAAATTCTGTCACATGAAAAAGGAAGGAAGACCACCTATTGACATCAGCAAGACTCGTGATCAAGTGGAGGATTTTGCCCAAGTGCTTGAGGAAATCCTTCCAGGCCCAGCTGATGCAAAATGCACCTGAACGATGAGAACATTTCATGAACATTGTTTATAACACTGCCTTGTCCACATTCAGCAAGAAGACCAAAAATATGGCAGACTGGTTCGAAGCCTATTTGGAGGAGCTGATGTCAGCCATCAAGGAAAAGAGGAGAGCTCTAGCAATATACAAAGCCTTGTCCTAGTGAGTACAACTTCCAGGCTCTTTGAGTTGTTTGTACCAAAGTTTAACAGGTTGCCAGGAGATGTTCTAACAATTATTGGCTTCAGCTCTGCTCTCAGATACAGATATCAGCAGACAGCATCAAGGGAATGTATCATGGCATCAAGCAGGCTTTAGGTCCAATACAGAAGAAGTATGCTCCTTTGGAGACTGCTATAAGTGCGATCATCCAGGACCGAGCACAGCAGATGGAAGGCTGGGTGCAGCACTACTCTGAGCTATATTCCAGAGAGAATGTAGTAACCGAAGAGGCATTAAATAACATTGAGTGCCTGCCTGTCTTGGAAGAGTTAGACAGCGAACCAACTTTAGCAGAAATAAAAGTGGCCTTGGATTCACTCACATGGGAAGGATAACATCCCTGTTAAAGTGCTGAAGTGCTGTAAAGAGATCATCACCACTGAGCTGTATGAAATCTTTTGTCTTTGCTGGAGGGAAAGTGGAGTACCACAGGACATGAAGGATGCAAACATCGTCACATTGTATAAGAACAAAAGCGACAGGGGCGACTACAATAACTACCGTGGCATCTCTCTTCTCAGTGTTGTAGGGAAGCTGCTTGCTTGTGTTGTGCTGAAGAGACTCTGGTGATTACAGACAGAGTCTATCCAGAATCACAGTGTGGATTTCGAGTTAATAGATCCACCACTGACATGGTATTTTCCCTCAGGCAGTTGCAGGAGAAATGTAGGGAACAACGACAACCATTTTTTTGGCCTTCATAGATCTCACAAAGTCCTTTGATTTGGTTAGCAGGGACGGCTTTTTTAAAATATATCCCAAGATTAGATGTCCACCTCGACTCCTTAACATCATCAGGTCCTTTCATGAGGAAATGAAGGGCACTGTAGTTTTTGATCGCTCAACATCAGATCCCTTTGACATCCGAAGCGGAGTGAAACAGGGCTGTGTCCTCGCGCCAACCCTGTCTGGGATCTTTTTTGCTGTCATGGTGAAGCACGCCTTTGGAACTGCAACAGAAGGTGTCTGTCTCCAGACTAGATCAAATGGAAAGCTCTTTAATCTCTTTAGATTGAGAGCGAAGACCAAAGTGCATCTTAAATGCATGCAGGACTTTCTCTTTGCTGACGATGCATCTGTTATTGCCCATTCTGCTGAAGACGTTCAACAACTTATTGATTTAGTAAGGCCTGCTAAGACTTTGGATTAATAATCAGCCTGAAGAAAACACAAGTCCTGGGCCAGGTGTGGCTCACCTCTCTATATTACTGTCTCCACAAAAGAACTGGAGGTTGTTCATTACTGTATTAACAATCTCCGACACTGTCTCCCTAGATGTCGAGCTGGATAAACACATTGGCAAAGCAGCTAGCAGTTCTCTAGACTCACAAAGAGTATGGCTAAATAAGAAGCTGAAGGCATATACCAAGATCCAGGTCTATAGAGCCTGCGTCCTAAGTACACTTCTGTACTGCAGTGAGTCCTGGACGCTTTGTGCATGGCGGAGAGGAAGCTGAACACGTTCCATATGCATTGTCTCTGACACATTTTTGGTATCACCTGGCAGAACAAAATTCCAAATAGAGTAGTCTTAGAACGAGCTGGAATTTTTAGCATGTATACTTTACTGAAACAGTGATGTCTGCGTTGGCTTGGGCATGTCGTGAGAATGGCTGACGATTGGATTCCAAAGGATTTCCTGTATGGAGAATTAGTGTAGGGAAATCGCACCAGAGGGAGACCACAGCTGTGATACAAGGACATCTGCAAGCGGGATGTGAAGGCCTTAGGAATGGACCTCAACAGATGGGAAATCTTGATGGGAAACCTTGAACGTTCAGCCTGGAAGCAGGCAGTGCATTATGGCCTCTCCCAATTTGAAGAGACACTTGTACAGCAGGCCGAGGCAAAGAGGCAGTCCTGAAACTAGCTAGACAGGGGACAGATTGTATTTGTCTTCCTTGTGGAAGGGATTGGCACTCTCGAATTGGCCTTTTCAGCCACTACAGACGTTGTTCAAAGACCTCTGTTCAGAGTGCGTTACCATAGTCTCTTGAGACTGAAGGATGCCTACAGAAATCTAGTGCAACTTGCTATGCTAAGCAACATAATTTCAGCCAATGAGAGGACATTAGCCAACTGAGAAGAAAACTGATTAACAGACAAGGCAGCAACATATTAAGCCCAGACATACCCTGGTAGCAGGACTAGTTTTAAAAAAGTCTTTAAAGACATCCATCAGTTATCTTTGGAGGAAATTACAGTAGTAAAATATCAAAATTCCCAGCATTCTGAAGGTGAAAGGGCTCAGAGGGGACCTCTCAGGGTTTGGGATATGCATAAACACTGGCTTTTTGTCTGTCAGCAACATGTTAGTCCGTACTGTTTGATCACTTCCACATGTAGCAAGAGCAGATAAATATTACATTCCAATTCCAAATGTGGGCACTGTATTTTGCATATCATACAAACCAGGCAGTCTCATTCACATTACAGTGGTGCCTCGCATAACGTTTTTAATTGGTTCCAAAAAAAAAAAACGTTATGTGAAACATCGTTATGCGAAACACCATTTCCCATAGAGATGCATTGGAAACCGGTTAATCCGTTCCAATAGGCACGGATTGCCGTCCTTAAGCGAAAAAACCCATAGGAAACATCGTTAAACGATACAATGTATCCTCCATTGGAATGTATTGTAGCTGACTCAATAGGTTTCAATGGCTTTGCGAAGTCAATTTTTGCAAAATTAAGTGTGTCATAAAAGGGTCAAAAATGGTTTTAAATGCTTGGATTAGCTTCTGCACCATCTAAAACGGATGCAAAAGTTAATTTGGCTTTGATCTGACTTTTCGTTAATTAATGGTGAATTTTTTCCCCCAACTTTTGACAGCTGTCAAAATCTGACAGCTCCATTAATTCCTATGGGGGAAGAAAAAATTCACAAAAAATTAATGAAGACTCAGCAACTGTGCTAAATTCTTGGGTTCGTTAGAGGACCCCCTAAGTTGTGTGCAAACCTGATTTGGCTTTGATCTGAACTTTCGTTAATTTTTTGTAAATTGTTTCCTCCCCCATAGGAAAGCATGGAGCTGTCAGATTTCGAAAGGTTCATTGGTTGCTATGGGCCAAAAAAAAAAAATTCACAAAAAATTGCACTAATGATTCCAAGCATTTAAAACTGTTTTTCAACATGTTAAGACACTTTTGTAATTGAAAAAATGAACATCGTTAAGTGAAGCAGGGGACCTAAAACAAAAAACGTTAAGCGAAGCATGGTCCCAAAAACGCTATGCGAAAATCGCCCATAGGGAAAAACGTTATACGAAGCACAATCTGACTCTGAAAAAATAAACGTTAAGCGAAAAAAACGTTAAACGAAGCAAACGTTATGCGAGGCACCACTGTATATCCAAGTTAGCATATTGTGCAAATTGAAACAGCTTTTGTCCTATCATGCAAATATAGTACATGATTTGGACTTGGAAAGGAGAGACCCAGGTTCTAATCCCTGCTTAGTCAAGGAGCTTACTTGATATTTGTGAGCCTCTTAATACTTCTCAGTCAAATCTACTTATATAGATATGAGGAAGAGGACCACATAGAGCAAATGTATACATGTCTGATACATGTAAACAAAGAATAGTGGCATTTTGCCTCACACATGGGTCTCTTGGTGATAAGATGGATTTTGTTTTTACCATTAGTTTTATTGATACCATTCCCTCCAATAGATCCATGAGAATACCACAGGAATTTCCACAAGTGGTATAGTATCGTCTTATCTTTAGGGGGGAAATGCAAGAAGCCATACTCAATTTTTCATATACATGTGTATATATATATATATAAGAAAGAAAAGTGATAATCAAATGTGAGGTCTCTTTCTTTATAGCAACCATAATAGGGGTTTCAATGTAGGTGAGATATATGAGATATTTGAAGAATGGTTTTACCAGTTCCACTCCCCCCAGTGAGTTTCCATTGCTGAGCAGGGATTCTCACTCTGTCACACCATACTGGGTATCCACACCATATTGGCATAATATTAGTGCTTGGAAAAAAAATCATTTTTGGGCTACCACTCACATAATCCCCAAGCCAGCAACACTTGTCATAGTTTAATTATTTTCTGGAACTGTCTGGAGTCAGATTTCAATTATTTGCAAATTAGCTAGGGACAGTGCTTTTCATTATTGCAACGTACACCCAGAATATTTGACTCATAGTCTCTAGAACTCCTGTTAAACTGTGGATGGCTTCAGTTATGGCCTGTTTCTTTCAAAGACCTGTTTCTTTCAAAAACAGAATAAAACATTATTTAAAAATGTCCAAAACATGGTTTGTTTTGTATCTCTAGTTCTATAAAGTATAGAGAATTACTTTACAAAATGAAAGCTTGGCTAGCTAATGGGCTAAACAAGCATGGTGTGGCATGTCTTAAAAATCATCTAGGCAATATGGCAACCCCGAACTAAACAACCATGCATGAAAGATCTATAAGTTGTTTACCTGTCTTGTCTGAATTAGAACACTTTTCTTTGGTTTGTTTTTGTTGTTGTTCAGTCATTTCGTCATGTACGACTCTTCGTGACCCCATGGACCAGAGCACGTCAGGCCTTCATGTCTTCCACTGCCTCCCGGAATTTGATCAAATTCATTTTGGTAGCTTCTGTGACACTGTCCAACCATCTCATCCTCTGTCATCCCCTTCTCCTCTTGCCCTCACATTTTCCCAACATCAGGGTCTTTTCCAGGGAGTCTTCTCTTCTCATGAGATGGCCAAAGTATTGGAGCCTCAGCTTCAGGATCTGTCCTTCCAGTGAGCACTCAGGTTTGATTTCATTTAGAATAGATAGGTTTGTTTATCTTCCTCCTAAACAGAAAAGGAATCCAGGTTGCTCTGGCCCACCATGTTGTGTACTTATTACCAATGTTTGCATAGACTCATTTGAAACACCTATGAGTGCTCCTGTGGAAAGTACTCTCCCTAAAGTGCATCCAGCATGCATAGAGCTCAGGTGGCCATTTTAAAAATTTTCTTTGCATCTCAACCTCTATATAAAATATTCTTCCAAGGGTAAAATGGATATTAAAAGATGATGCCTTCTGATGAGTTGAGCAGAATGTTGAACTGATCTGTTTTTCCACTTCCCCCAGTTCTCAATTGCTTCACACCCTACAGTGGCAAGAAAGCAAATTATCAGTCAAAAAAGAAAAAAAAGGAAGAGGCGTAGCCTTTAAGAGTGTTGTAAAAGCTAAGTTGGGTGTTCTCATTTTTACAGAAGGAACTGATCAGAAGAAAAAGAACTCCACTTTTTCACAAACGGGAAGATCACTGAGAGGAAGCCACAAGAGACTCCTTACAGTATGTTTCTAAATTCTTTGCTGATTTTGTTAATATGTTTCTCCTTTGGCCAGGTACTTTCATGTTTCTTGTGTTTTTGCCATCCGTTTCTTTTTTGAAAAGTCTGTGTATTAATATTGCTAAATGTATTATTTCTCTCCCTACGAATTTATAACATTCTTAGATTATATTTAGAATGGATGATGTATGTATGGCCAAACTTTCACTGCAATACAATAGTATTATTGTCAGCAACTGAAACGTTTAAAACAGATTTTTAATGCAACTTCTGCATTTAATAGATGGTTCTTGCCATCTAGTTAGCTTATCCAGGAGTACCACTAGGCTCATGTGTTTTCCATTGGGAGTGTACCACTGAAAGATTAAAAAATACATTACATGAAAACTTGTATAATAGAGCTAGAACTTGGAAAAGTTAACTTTTATAACTGCTTTTGGAATCCATAGCAAATATGAGGTTGCAGAGCTGTAGTCCAGAATAGTATTTTTTTTTCTGTGTCATGAATAGCCTGATACTGTATTTAGTTTGTTTCCTTTTCTTAAATTAAATTATCTGGAGTCTTAATTCATTCCATGTCCAGTCATTTATATCCAGAGCTCCCTAGCCAGGCTATTTTCCCCCTCATATGGAGTTCAAAGTACTCTACATGTTACATTTTTCTCTTACATTTATCTGTTGCTGTAATTTAATTCAACAGGGCTAGTTCGTTCTCTCTCTCTCCGTCTCTGTCTCTCTCTCTCAATTAAGGAGGAGCACAACATGAAGAGCATTCGGGGGTTTGTATAGTTACCTAGCAGAGACTGCTTAGAAACCATTTCCAAGATGTGAGGAAGTCTTGTTACAATATTCAGGTTACAGTATTTGGCTGGAGCACATTATTTTGCTGCATTATAGTAGGGTATTTTTAATGTGCAGTTGGAGGCAAATGTGTAATTGGGGCAACAGAGAAATTGCACTTGAAAACTGATCAATGAGCAATTGGGAGAATGAGGAACATTTAAAATAAATGCTATGCATGTGTTTACTGAGAATTTTATTAAGCTCAGCAGTGTCAGTGATAGCATGTAAACTATGGTCTACTTTCCTATTTAAAGCAGATTTCCAAAACCATATTAAACACTTTCTTGTTAATAGTTAGAACTCAGACTTTATCTTCTGGCAAGTAACACCTATCTGCATAATTACAAATCTCCTTAAAGTGTCCACATTCTTATACCTTAGTGTTGTCCTGCAAACTTTCTTTCGTATTGCAGCCACAGTCAGTAGAAAACAGCTACAGAATCTGGAATCCCGGAAGCCAATAGTAGCATATTGTAATGGGTGCAGAGATATTCATTTTTCCTCCGGTAGTTAAGCCTTTACTTTTATTTCTGAATATAGCACTTGTACTTATGAGCTTCTTGCTGGAGACAATATTGAGTTCAGCAGAAATTGTCAAAATGTCAAGAACCAGTGTGAAACAGGAAGAAAGCAGCAAGTAGTAAGAAATGATAGGAGAGGGCTCTGGACTAATGCAGAAGAAGATCTGAAAGTCAGGAAGTAGCAGACAACATAGAAAAATTACAAAGCAAATAAAGGGTGCTTTTGGATGGGAAAAATTCCATATCCCTTTCTTTTCCCTGACCCTAAAAGAGTGCAGAGTTTACTAAGACTTGCATCCAAACTTTCTTTTAAGAGAAACATGTTTCTTTAAGAAATCCACTTTTCTGCTGGAGTCTTTTAAAATGTGCTGTCTGTAAACTTCTGTCAGGAGCTGACACTACAGACATCAACAGCAAAAGGGAAGTGTTAAACACCACCCTGGTGCAAAGTGTTTCTAAAAATAAGCTTTGCTGTTAAAGGGTTGAAAAGGAGTGAATAGCTGCATGTTGAGGGAGAGAGCATGGTATACAACAGGAGATCATCCTATGGATGATGGGGAAATACCAATAATATCGGTAGAGAACCCAGTATTTTACATAGAACAAATGCTTCATCTGGAGGAGTCCAAAAGAGACAAATTATATGAGTGAAATAGAGGATCTGTTCTTACTGCTAAAATTTATGTATTGTCCACATCATGCAGGGGTGCATGGTCCAGAATATAGCCTACCACATCTGTCAGTGCAGGCCACTAGCCTTTCCCAGGTTGTGTCTCCAACAAGCCTTTTTCCTACTGCCAGAATATGTGCGTGAGAGACTAAAAATGTATATGAAAGTGTTGAGGACGGGAACTGCCAATGGATGTACAGTATATATAAATGCATGTATATATGAGTGAGAGAGTACACAGCTGTGTATTTGTGCACAAGTACATGTGAGTGTTTTATGTGTAGCTTTGTATGAATGTATGTCTCTATATGTGTGTTTGAGTGTGTAGATAGGGAGAAAGAAAGAGTCAGATGGTTCAATTTTGCTTTGACCCTGCAGTTACTGGACTGAAAAAATGTTCCCTGCAAAAAACATAATGATGCGTTAGCAACAGGAGAATAAATTAATGTTGGACTAGGCAAAAGGTAGGGCTGTAGAGTTGCTAATGTAGACTAATTGGTGTAGCTCTGGTATGAATGTAGTGGCCCTTCTTCTGGTCCATCAAGTCACATCTCACAGTTTCCCTTTTGCAGCGAGTGAGATCATCAAGGAGTGGTTTACTGTTGCTATCCCAATGAGTTACATGACAAATACAAACATGAACCGAGTTTTCCTCAGTCCTAACCCAATACACTATCCACTGCACAACACTGTCTCTTAACTAGCTTTTATTGGTTTGGATTGAAATCATTTAAAAATTATTACTACATGATCTGACCATTGCAACTTCAGAAATTCTGTATAAACTCTTTCTCCACCAGCTTCTTTACCCCCACTTCATATCTGTCTGAATCTGTAACAGAAACTAGGTGCATGCTTTGTAAACATTTCGCTCCTACATTTCTCCATGTAATCATTTTGTGTGTATTTTTTACATTTCACAGGAGATGTCTCATGAATCCTTCTTTCTACTGTTGGGAGCTACTCTTCTGATCCCCTCAACAGGTGAGCTGCTACTTCCATTACGGTGGAGTGGACATAGTGCTACCTGTCTTAATGCTGTCCTAGGAAGTAGGACAGCATGATGAGAGCAATCCCTTGTGGAGCCTGCTTAAGACCATTGGAAAAAATGATCTTAAGTAATAATTTAACATGAATTTCATTGGCTAGTGGACGTTCTGTGCTGCACATCAGATCTACAGTTAGTGGGAGGAATGGTAGGTGGACAGCTGGTGTCGCTCAGAATGTTCCCTATTGACAGAAATCAGGAGGCATGGTCAGCAACTCCTCCCCAGGCAGTTATACCATGGCCCAATAGCAGTGTAACAGTAAAGTTTAAATTGATGGCTTTTGTCTTTACACTCCTATCCCCAAGGAGAAAAGGCAAGTAATAGTGTTGATTCCTATCAACAATTCTGCTCCAATTATTTTTCTTATCCTACAGGTGCAGGTCTTCTGTAAACAAATAAATAGCTCCTAATTCGTCATTCAAGACCAAGGCATCCCAAAACCAGGGCCTTCATCTTGAATGAAGTCAGCTCCAAATTTGTTTACAAGGAGGATGTTTATTGAGTAACTTATAAACACGCAGGTGTTCGCAATAGGCTGGAATAGACAACAGCAGGTCACCATAAGAAATCTGAACTGTTGTTCAGATACAGCAGTTTTTATAAACTTTTGCTGTTTACATCTATAACCTGCAGCGGAGGAATGTGTCATTACTATGTTTCAATCTAATGAGCACCACAGACATGCAAAACACCCTCTATCCTGTGTCCCTGTCATGTGAAGCTAAGGTATTAATGGCCAATATGAAAAATCACAAACAAGCTTTTAGTTATGTCTGATAAGCACATCTGTATCCCCGGGTCACCTTCATGCCCAAGAACCCATTAGGTCAACTTGATCATCCGTTAATGCACCCACATGACAGGAGACCACTGAAGCTGCTTTGTACAGCCAAACAAAATGGAAGACAGCAGATCAAAAATAGAAAACACCAGACCAGAAAGACAGACAGATGGATGCATGGATAGATAAATAGATGGATGGACGGATAGACAGATAATGTTTTTGTACCACAAGTAATATTTACTCATTGGCTCGAAATCATGTTGAAGGAGTCATTTGAGGGGAAAATGACATTTTCGACCATGTTTTGTGTTTGAAGCAAAAGCTTATATTGAGAAACATAATATGGAAAGTGGGATTAGATTCAGATAAAGAGGAGTGGAAATTAGTAAAAGAAACATAAGTAATATAAGATATAAGGATGACACCATGTTACTGTAGAAAATAGCAATATTTGAATCATCTGCAATGAAGGTCAAAACAGAAAGGGCAAAACCAGAGGTAAAGTTGAACATTAAGGCCAGAATAATGACTATAGAATATCATAGCTTTAACATTTACAATGAAGAAATTGAAATTTATTCATTATTTATTTAAAATATTTTACCCCACCTTTGATGCAACAGTGCCTCCAATAATGTAACTTCACATTCTGACATTTTTATGCTATTAAATGTATTGTACTGTATTTCACTATGTCTCCCACTGTATTTTATGGTATTTTGTTTTGATGTCACAATATTTTGTTATTCTATGATTTTCTGTTTAGCTATTGTAAAGTGCCCAGAGTGGCCTTGGCTGACAGATGGGCGGCATATAAATCAAGTAAAAAATAAATCAGATAAATAAATCAAATAAATAAATTGAAAGACAGTATTTAAAGTTGGAAACAATAGGTACACAACAATGGTTGACATCAGTAAAAGACAAAATTTAAAGCTAAGAATAATAAGTATAAAGAGGCATCTTACATCATTTCTTGTTGTTTAGTCGTTAAGTTGTGTCCGACTCTTCATGACCCCATGGACCAGAGCACGCCAGGCCTTCCTGTCTTCCGCTGCCTCCCGGAGTTGTGTCAAATTCATGTTGGTAGCTTCAATGACACTGTGCATCTATCTTGTTCTCTGTCATCCCCTTCTCCTCGTGCCTTCACACTTTCCCAACATAAGGGGCTTTTCCAGGGAGTCTTCTCTTCTCATGAGATGGCCAAAGAATTGGAGCCTCAGCTTCAGGATCTGTCCTTCCAATGAGCACTCAGGCTTGATTTCCTTCAAAATGGATAGGTGACAGAGGTGCGGTATTACCAGGATACACCAGGTGGCACTAACAGTAGAAAAACTTCCCTGAGATGAAGACGCCAAACAACATGTAGTGTTGATAGAAGAATTACTTATATTATTTACAGGAGTTATACACACATATACAGCTTTAGTGGAAGGGACGTGGTGGCGCTGCGGGCTAAACCACAGAAGCCTGTGCTGTAGGGTCAGAAGACCAAGCAGTCGTAAGTTCAAATCCACGTGACGGAGTGAGCACCCGTCGCTTGTCCCAGCTCCCGCCAACCTAGCAGTTCAAAAGCATGCAAATGCAAGTAGATAAATAGGGACCACCTCGATGGGAAGGTAACAGCATTCCATGTCTAAGTCGCACTGGCCATGTGACCATGGAAGATTGTCTTCGGACAAAACGCTGGCTCTATGGCTTGGAAACGGGGATGAGCACCACCCCTAGAGTCGAACACGACTGGACAAAAATTGTCAAGGGGAACCTTTACCTTTTACAGCTTTAGTCTTAGTTTTCCAGTCTGAGGTCATGCACAGCAGTTCAACAGGATTCAATACGCAAATCACAGTCAAAGTCCTTGTAAATTAGTCCAGAGTTCATTTACCAGATGAGCAGTCCTGAAGCCAAAGTTCTTCTCCCAATATGTAGCACGGAGACAGGCTTCTCCCAGGATCTCTCCAACACAGCACTTTGACGACAGCAATCCGACACATCAACCATCCCACACCACCAACAGAGTGTGTGTGCTAGCTCTGCTAGCTTTATCTCAGAATTGTCCAATCCTGAGATCCTTCTCTCAGCTGTCACAATCAACTCAGCTGTATTAATTCTAGCTATACACATTTGTAGCTCTGATCCTGTCAATACTTATAGAATTGTATTCAACAATTCTCTCAGGTTTGACTTAAACCTATCAATAGGTATGTTCTCCTTGCAGTCCAGGGGACTCTCAAGAGTCTCCTCCAGCACCACAATTCAAAATCATTGATTCTTTGGCCATCAGCCTTCTTTATGGTCCAGCTCTCAATTCCATACATCACTACAGGAAAAACCATAGCTTTGACTATGCGGACCTAATCCTAATCGAGGCTTAAATTTCCCTTTGATATATTGGATTTCCTGGAAGAAATATCCTGTTTTCCCCCTTTTGTTCTTCTTCTGTATTTCTTCGCACTGATTGTTGTAGTACTGTAGTTCTCTTTGTCTCTACATTATAGTTGCTGAAAAACTGTGTTCAGGGTTCTGACCCTACTTCGGCCACCCTTTACTTCTGCTTCTTCATGTATCCTGTTTTTTTCATTTCTTTTTACTACAGGAATTTTTTTTGCTTTCTCCCCCAGTTTGTTTTCTCTGGCTCCACATAGTTCTTCTGTTTCATGGTCAGTTGAATTTAGTAACACAAATCTGTCCCTTAGGTGTACTTTAAATTCTTCAGGAGCATTGTTTAGATTATATTTTGGCACTATGATTCTTTTAGTGTTCTTTTTCATCTTTACTATAACGTTAGATATAAACAGTTCATGATCAGTGTCAGATCCAGTTTTGGCAAAGAGAATACATCTCCTGCCATAGTCTATTTGGTTTTTGTATTGACCATCTGGTGATGTCCACATGTACAGCTGTCTCTCCAGTTGTTTGAAGCATGTATTTGCAATAAACAGATTGCTGGCCTCACACAACTAAGAGTTGTTCTTCTGTTTCATTTCTATCCCCTAGGCCAATTTTTTCAACCACATATGGTTCTGCTTTCCCCATAATTTTGCATTCCAGTCACCCATGATTATAAACATGTCTAGTTCGGTGTGTGATTGATTTTCTCCAGCATGTTCACATGAAAGCTATCAATTTCATCTTCTTCGGCAGAGGTAGTAAGAGCATAGACTTGAATTATGGTTATTTTGATAAGATTTCCATAGAGTCTGCTATTATTCGAACAGATCTTTAGGTACAGCTCCGAACTTCCTGTTCTGTTTCTTGCCTCAGTATTAGGTAAAGGTAAAGGTTCCCCTTGACATTTAGTCCAGTCATGTCCTACTCTAGGGGGCGGTGCTCATCCCCGTTTCTAAGCTGTAGAGTAGTTTCCGTGGTCACGTGGCCAGCGTGACTAGACACAGAACGTTACCTTCCCACCATGGTGGTACCTATTTATCTACTCGCATTTTTATATGCTTTTGAACTGCTAGGTTGGCAGGAGCTGGGACAAGCGACGGGAGCTCACTCCGTTATGTGGATTCGATCTTAAGACTGCTGGTCTTCCAACTTTGCAGCACAGAGGCTTCTGTGGTTTAAGCCGCAGCGCCACCACGTCCCTTCACCTCAGTATTACAGCTCCTCTATTTCTTCTGAGTTTTTCATTTCATGAGTCAAAGAATTTGTAATTTTCTGACTGAAAATATCCTGTTCCAGTTCACTTTAGTTTGTTAACACCAAGCACTGCAATGTTTATTCATTCCATTTCTTGCTTTGTGGTTTCCAGTAAATGAAAATGACATACTCCACAGCAAAGTGACTGGCCTGCTCCAGTTTGATCCAGTGCACTACAATTTGGCCATCTGGTTTTATCTTGAGACTACTCGAAAGCAGAAAGAACTAGAAAACACTCTTAGCTGTAAGGGTGTGTCTCTGGAGATCAAGGCCAAGGCTTCAGCCCCTCCCCCCTTTCCTGTTCCTTGTTTTTTGTAAATCTGTGCTTGATTAAGAGATTGAAGATTTCAGAAGCTTGCTCCCAATTTTGAACCTATTTGACGGGCCTAAATACGTAACTGTAGGTTTTGACAGGTTTTTTCATGGGCCAGGATGTTTCTCTATCTTACTTGATATAGAGTGTTTCTGTTTCTTCACTTGCAGTCTTACTGACTTTAATTTTATTTCCTCTTTATTCTTTAGCACTTTCTCTTGAATGCACAAAATACAATGTAAAAACATGTCAGGAGTGTGTCACGTCTAGCCCTGGTTGTGCCTGGTGTAAGAAGCAGGTATGTTTTGTTTCTTTGATCTCATATTTCACATTTCACATGAAATATACATTTCATATATTTTATATTTTCCAGACATTTTAATCCTCTTAACTTGTACACTGTAGCCATTACAATATTGGGTATTATATGGAGCAGAAAGTATTGGCAACATAGAAGCATGAGATCATGCTGCTTGCACAAGTGTTGCTGTTGGGCAAGTGGAGAATGAGTTATCTGTGTGGAGGTCACTGCTTGTGCAATGACTAAGCTGGGGCAAGTGTACAATCTGCATCAATTACACTAGTTGGACCTTCCACTCAGTGGACGTTCAACAGAGTGGCTTACAAAATATATCTTTGTATTGTATGTGAAAACTATGTTTGTCTTCCTTTGCAGGGAAAGCATAGTCTATTTCCCACTTCAAACTCCTGTTTTTGTAGTGGGGGCTACCACTGAGGTGGCTAAATGTGGCCTTGCAGGGGTTGCTGGACTGCAGTTTACATAATCCTTACCATGGACTATGATATGTAGAGATTATGAGAATTACGATCTAAATCCAAACAACAATACTAAGATGTTTGCATACATACATTAACTTTGTGTGCACACATCTTAGCCGGAGTGGATTGAGGCAAGCATATTAGGATTTATATCAGCAGCAAGAGTAGTCTTAAGAGGGTGCTATATCCTTACTAGTTGCTGGCACATGAGACCTGGCATGCTTGCCCATAGCCAGTTCAGCTCTTGAGCTGAAATAGGTTACCCAACCTTGGTATGTGCAAAACAAAGTGTGGAAAGAAGTACTGATTATGGTTCCTGTGGTGTTTGCCCTTGTGGCCCCTGCTTGTCTCCCCAAACACAGAGCTCACAAGGTACCTCAGCATGCCCTGTGATACGCTGCCACCAGTTGATCTCTTTATCATCTTATTTTACTTAGAAAAGACGAAGGTCCATCCAGTACCTACTTTTCAACAGAGCAGGTTTATTAATTACAGGTGGTTTCTGGAATCATTCCTAGGCACATTCTTCAAGATTCATGAAGCTTCCATATTAACCTTCTGTATTATCACAAGTTACTCTCAGACTAATCACTCCTCAGACCCCCCAAACTATCCTCTCACAATGATTCCAGACTCAGACTCTTGGCTGACTGACTCTCAGGCTCAGCCTTTTAGCATTTCTTTCATCCCTGCCCCTAAACCATATTAACATATAACATGAATAATGCATAACTTACAATGCATAACTTAGGTGAACCCCACAGTTCTGTTCTGACTGGCTGTAGTTCTCAAAAATCTCAGGCAAATGTATTTTTTATTTAAAATATTTTTATTTCACCTTGCTCCTTAGAAAGGACCCAAGGTGTTTTACATCACAAAAATGTTAAAGTTAACAACAGTGAGTACTGTATACAAATACTAAAAAGGGTCAAGCAGTTACCATGTTTCTTGGGCCTGCTGCCTGATGTCTTTTTAACTAGAAATGCTGCAGATTGAACCTAGAATCCACTGGCTGAAATCCAGTAGTAAGTAGCAATGACATTATAGAGGCGTTAACTCACCAAATCCACACTGATTCAATGGGCCTACTCTAGTTGTGGTCTGCTATTGGATTTTGATCACTGTGTAAAAACATGGGTTCTAAAACTGTTCTTCCTTGATTGTCCAAAAGATATTGGGTCATCCCTAATACAGTGGTGCCCCGCTTGACGACAAATCCACTTCACGATGATGTTTTTGTGATTGCAATTGCGATCGCAAAACAATGTTTTAATGGGCTTTTTTCGCTTCCCAACAATTGGTTCCCTGCTTCGGGAACCGATTCTTCGCATTATGACGATCAAAACAGCTGATCGTCGGGTTTTCAAAATGGCCACCGGCTGCTCAAAATGGCCCCCCGCTGTTTTTAGGAGGCATTTTTCACTGCACAGGCACCCGAAAATGGCCATCCTATGGAGGATCTTTGCTAGACGAGCAGTTATTTCACCCATTGGAATGCATTGAACAGTTTTCAATGCGTTTCAATTGGCTTTTTTATTTCGCTTGACAAGGATTTTGCTCTACAGCGATTTCGCTGAAACGGATTATCCTCGTCAAGCAAGGCACCACTGTACCTAAAATATATTGACTACTCAAATTTAATGTCCTGCTTTGCCTATCTAAAATGCTCTCTGCCTGCTAAACAACCTGTGTATTTGACCAATGAGAGGCAAATCTGATTAACTATTTGATTTTATATTTGAAAATTGGGGGAATAAGTCATCACTTTTTTGTCCTAGCAGTCCAAGATATAAAGGGAAAACTGCCTGACACTTAGTAAAGCTTTAATCATTTTAATTTGTAACTTTCCTCCCCATCTTCACTTCACCATGAAAACTTAGTGACTTCAACATCAAATCAATCTTTTCCAACCTTTCCCCACCCCAATCTACTTTTTCTAGCTTGCCTGATGAAGAAATTTGGACATTTCAAAAGCTTGCCGATAATTTTGTGGTTAGTCCTACTGAAGGTATTAACTCATCGTGCTTTTTTTAAAAAAACTTTTCTTTTTATATAATATACAGAATTTCACAAAAGTGGGAGAACCAGATTCTATTCGTTGTGATACCAAGCAGCAGCTCCTGTTGAGGGGATGTGAAGAAGAAGATATTGTTTTTCCAAAAAGCTTTGCCATCCCTGACCCCCCTCATGGCCTGAGACAAATCTACCCAGAGAAGGTGCATCTGCAGCTAAGAAAAGGTACTAATTTGTACTAATGTAGACAATAGAGATGATTATAAATAATCAGTTTTCTGATAAATCATAGAATAGTAGAGTTCCTTTTGACTGCACCAGACATTCAAAGAATACAGGTTTTTAAATGTATTTTCTTCCATTTCTTCATCCTAAAATTGGGGCACTCTAGTTATAGTTAAATCATCAGGATTACAAAATAAAGGTAAGCATATACCAGTGTTGTGGGATTCCAGTATTTTGGGGTTCATGTTCTGTATTGCACCCCGGCTCTGTGGGAGCAGAATTTTAGAGGAAATGATGGGCAAGCTCTAGGTTTACTTACAAGGAGTTTATTGAGTAACTTACAGAGGCGCCCAATAGCTGGAATGGATGACAGCTTGGCGCACAAGTCAGCACAAGAAATTAAGTGAAGCAAACAATATTTTTACATTTTTGTTGTTTCCACCGAGAAGTTACATCTGGGTAATACGTTGCTACTTCATTATACTTCAAAGTTCAATATAGCATGTGAACTACCTTGTTCAGTGATAAACTCAGGTATGTAAAGTATAAATAAGCTCATTAGCATTTGATAAGCACATCTGTTGTCTCTGTCTTGCTTGATTTCCCAAAAAAAATTAAAACACGACGATCCTTTGCTTCACCTTCAAACTGTGAGAACACTGCAGTTTTGCCTAACCAAACAAAATGGAAGACAGAAGATCAAAATGGAAGACCGGCAGCTCCTCTAAATACCAGGCCCAACATGGACACCTCTGGAGTTTTGAAAGTGTTTTAGGAGCCACCATACAGATGATTGCCATAGCAACATGGTCAGTTACAAAATGGTGGCTATGCATGGCTGGACATAAAATAGTTGGCATCTGGCCAATGGAATCTAGTAAAGAAAGAATGCTTTTTCATGAACTTGATTTTTATCTGAATGCTGCCTTATCAACATTCATCAAATTAAAGCCTTCATGGTCTTCAGCTGCATGGTAAAATCACAGTGCTGCCATGACATAAAATCACAAGGGAAGGCATGGGATCTTGAGATAAGGCTGGGAAAGAATTTTGTCTTGAGATCCTGGAGAGCTGCTACCAATCAGAGTTTTGGGCTAGGTGCATCCCAGTACCATGACTCCCATTCTTCGAGGTTAGCTACATTTTGATGATGGTTTGGATTGTTGCGCATGTACCCAACTGCATGTTAAAAATAATGTTTAAGTCAAGAAAATGACTTAAGAATGACTTTGGGCACTGTGAAAGATTTCTGAAGGTCTCACATTAGGGAAGGCAGTTGTGATGTGTGCTATTTATACAAGTAAGTCTCAAGCCTTGTTTGGTGCTGTAGAATTGGAGGAAATGATGGTTCTTGTCTCTTCCACTGACAGATCAGCCTGCGATTTTTAATGTGACGTTCCGCCGTGGTGAGGATTATCCCATAGATCTCTACTATTTAATGGACCTTTCATACTCTATGGGAGATGATCTACAAAATGTGAAGAAGCTAGGAGGAGATCTGCTTAAAGCTCTCAACAAGATTACCAAACAGGCTCGGATTGGTAGGTATATTCTCAGTCATTGAATATCTCCAGTCCTAAAAAACTACCATTTAGAATTCTTGTAACTAATTCTTGTACACAAGTTTCTTGCACATATGTGCCATGAGTTTCTTGCACATAAAATACTAAATATAAACTTAGTTATATTATCATAGTTAAATTCCCTTCAGGTGTAGTCATTGTCTTTCCAATAAATTATTCCATTTCCTTCCCAAGATGTAAAACAAATAAATTTATCATGATCTACAAACAAAGGATGATCTACAGGAACAATGTAAGCAGGTAGAGAGAAAGGATGAGTTTTCTCTGCAAGTGTTTCCAAATACAAAGAGTACTCAATATATAGGGCTTGGTTGTAGGTTTTAGTTTTATGTTAGTTCAGGATAAAAAAGGCAACTCACTGATTTTATCAAGGGACTGATCACAAGTCTCCAAGGCAAACCATGCATCAGCTTGAGAGTTGTGCACAAACCTAATCATTTGGAGTAGCTTATGCAATGTAGTAATAAAGAAAGTTAAAAATACCCAGCCCACCTTGTTTATTGTGGATATTTCAGAGTGAAATAGGAATTCTGCGATCTCAGATTTGTTTATGAATTGTGATAAAAGCTTTTGTCAATCGGAAAAATAGGACTCAGGAATATGAGCAGGTGTGATAGGAGACAAGTATGCAAGTTTAGGAAAAATTGTCTGAGGAACTGGTGGTGATGGAACAAGTGGGATGGAAAGTACAATGACAATGCTGGAAAACAGGAATTAATCTGACTCAATGCAGAGTGGAAGACCTACCCTACAGTATTTCATGGCAGTGGCGGCAACGAAAGTCATTTTTCTCTTCCACCATGGTGTCTGCACAGTCACCCAGCAGAGCTTTTTTGAGTAGTCAAGGGCCTATTACATCATGCCCTGCAAGAAGAGAATGCAGACCATACTGTAGATTGCTGTGAAGAATTTGTTCTGCACTTTGCAGACAAAATTGCTCAGGTCTACTCTGACTGGATGCTGTCGTTCATACAGGTCCTGTGGATGTAACTCAGGACCCATGGAAAGGTGAAAGCTGCCACATTTCTGCTGGACCCTTGCCCTTCCTGGCTTATAAAAGCTGCCAAAAAGGGATTGACTGAGTGGGTCTGTGGGGTGGTGAATACTTCCTTGCAGCAGGGTAGGATCCCAGCATACAGAGTGGCCTGGGTTGCCAGATGGGTGGTATAGAAATTAAACAAAGAAATAAATAAAAGAAATACTTAAAGGAGGCAGTAGTAAGACTATCATTGAATTCATCTCTGAGCCTGGATGTCCAGGTTTCTATGGTGGCCAGAAATGCCTTTGCGGCGTTTTAAACTAATGTGCCAGCTGCATCCATTTCTTGAGAGGTCTGATATGGTCATGGTGACACATGCCCTAGTTACATCCCAGTTGGATTACTGTAACACACTCTGCATGGGGCTGCCTTTGGAATGTGTTCTTAAACTCCAGTGGGCTCAAAATGACACAACCAGATTGTTATCTGAGGCTGGTTAGAGGGAACATATAACTTCCCTCTTACAACAGTTCCACTGACGGTTGATCTGTTTCCGGGCACAAATAAAAATGCTGGTTTTAACCTATGAAGCCCTTTCTCTTTCAGACTGGCTTTTTCTTAGCAACTGGCTGTCTGAGGACCTGATAACATGAGCCAAATATTCTGTAGTTATATGCCATATGAGCAGCCTTCATCCAGACAAATCACATTTAAAATGGCCTTTTAACTGATTTACCTTCAACCCAAAATACATGAGCCCAAGCAGTTTTAAGAATTAAACGTATATGTTCTTTATAACATAACAACTGGTAAAACTAGTAGTTCAACTTAAATTTACACTGAGTTACATGATAGCTCTCAAACTTACAACCTCCCTGTCCCAGAAAAATAACTCTCCCAAGTTCTAGCCCACTCTTAAGATATTACCTCACTCATCAAGATACAATTTGACTCTCCCCAGTTCTCTTCAGCTCTTCTTCACTCCACCTCCTGCAGGCTCTCATGGAATGGCTCACCTCCTGCTTTCTTCCAGCCATTCACCTTATTTCTGCTGTTACTAGGTAAAACTGGTTAGTTTGCCATCACATTCCTCCCTCCTTTGCTTCTTTGCTCATTTGAGAATCCCTGCACAGTTCTCCATAGCGAGCAGTGAACCATGGATCATACACATACAGTATATATAATTCACAGTGCTGATACATTTCACACATCTTTAATATGTAATTCTTGTACATCTATAATCATACTTACTCAAAATACACTCTTATATCAATCAGATAAATAATACATTACATTTAGTTAATCTTACTAACAATGGTCCTATATGTAATATTATTTATCATATGGTTATTGTAGGTTTTTTGGGCTGTTTGGCCATGTTCTGGAGGTTTTTCTTTCTGAAGGTTTTGCCCATCTCTGTGGCAGGCATCCTCAGAGGACAGAACTTTGTCTGTGTTCTGGTGTAGTGTATAGGACAGTTGAGTATTTATAGTTGTGGGATGAGGGTTTTGTCCTTTTCAGGAGATCGGGTGATTATGGCGATCAGGGTGGTTTTTGTTATGGGTGTATTGTTGTGATAAGGGGGAGATGATCTGTCACTGTGTGTGATGTTAGCTAGTCTATTGTGTGCATGGTAGAGTTTATTGACCTTTTTGAGTATTTATAGTTGTGGGATGAGGGTTTTGTCCTTTTCAGGAGATCGGGTGATTATGGCGATCAGGGTGGTTTTTGTTATGGGTGTATTGTTGTGATAAGGGGGAGATGATCTGTCACTGTGTGTGATGTTAGCTAGTCTATTGTGTGCATGGTAGAGTTTATTGACCTTTTTGCAAGCTGTATTTTTCAATGCTGGGAGCCAGGCTTTGTTGAGTTTTAGATTTTCTTCTTTTTTGTTGAAGCTGTGCTGGTGTTTGTGGATTTCAATGGCTCCCCTGTATAATCTAACATAATGATTGCTGGTGTTTTCCAGTACTTCTGTGTTTTGAAATAAGATTTCATTTCCAGTTTGTTTCGGGGCATGTTCAGCTACTGCTGATTTTTCCAGTTGTTTTAATCTTTAGTGTCTTTCATGTTCTTTGATTCTGGTGTGGATGCTGTCTTTTGTGGTCCCAATATATCCCTGGCCACAACAGCAAGGTATCCGGTGTCAGCAAACACGGGTTCGAAAACACACGTGTAAGCCTGGACAGAGAGCAATCAGGAGTTTGCACACGCTAAAATGAGCTGAGTGAGTCCAAACTCAGCTAGCCATGCTACAACACTCCCTCTTACAAGTCTGCCCACATAAGATGCCCTTGTGCCCTTTCTCTATT